GCCGAGTGTGGGCACTCAGGGCACTCTAAGCCAGGACTGCTTTGCAAGCGGGGAACCCCTGAGAACTGTCTGTCCGGGGTTGGGGTCAGGTCCCTTTAAGCACAGCCCTCAGCTAGCCTGAGACAGCAGCTCCACGCTCTAAGTCCTAATCTGATGCCCTGCCGGCACTGCTTCCGGCCATCCTTAACCTCGGTTCAGGGTCCACTCAATGTGGACATGCTAGTTCGAATTAGCAAAATGCTAATTCGAACTAGTTTTTAGGTCTAGATGCACTAATTCGAATTAGCTTAGTTCGAATTAACTAATTCGAATTAAGTTAGTTCGAATTAGTGCTGTAGTGTAGACATACCCTTACTGACTAAGGATCAACTTGCTTTCTAGAATAAAGCCTTCTGTTTAAACAAGTGAACAAAGTGGAAAGTATAATAATCACAAGGAAATCCATACCAGGTTGCATCAGCAGAGTTTTATTTAGTGTATGCTCCCTCCGTAGATTCATTTTACAGCCATCTTTACCCATTAGGTGAGATTTCCAAGCCTATGATCAATTAAAAAACAACTGGTTTTATAAAAGCAGAGAAATAGCAGGTCTTTCATACAAACACTATTTCTATATTTGCACATGCACACACACACACACACACACATACACACACTTTTTACAGTATCAAGGGAAAAATGAAATGTTAGGGATCATTTTACTGAGAAAAGCAAGCAGATTTTAATAGTTTTGGCCTACACAAGAAAATATCAGCAACATCTCACAGTGAACTTGGGACTGAGCTGACACTTGGTTTCATTCTTTTGCCTGTTAACTGCTGTCTTGATCAGATTTAGAACTGGTCTCTGGGTGAAAGTCAAACATTGATAATCAATCCCTGCTGTAACCTGAACAAGCCTAAATGTAACTCCGTTAAATCACTTAGCAAATCAAATTAAGGTGACAGGAATAGTGGGAGAAGAATTAGAAACATCACTTTATGTTGGAAGGCTGATTACAAAAGAAGCAAGGTGTCCATTAAAACCCTGCTTTGCACAGCCTTTGAAAGCAGTTTGTGATCAGGCTGCATTTACTATCATTGTTCTAGAATCTGAAGTCACAGACAGAGGAGAATCACACACTTTTTGATATGGTTATATTCAGGCAGTGTAAGTAATTTCAGTGTTAATGGACAAATTATTGACGTCTTAGTGACAAGATGAGCAAGCCCAATTTGACATTACGCGTGTTTCTCTTACCTCCTCTCCTGGGGCGAAGTTTTCATGGCACAAGGGACAATGGTTTGCCACTTTTTCTGGTTTTGCAGCTGAAAGCAGGAATAAAAGGTATGCTATCGCATGTGCTTTGCCAAAGGCAAGAGAAACAGATTGAGCTCTGCCAATTTCTATGAACAAAAGATGGAACTGACAGTTCTTTAGAAACCAATGTCATTATCAAGAGAAAAAAGGAAGAGGAAAAGAAAAACAGCGAACACAGAAGTGCAGTGATGTGGGTGGTCTAAATTGTAGAATAATCTTCAGAAATTGTCTGTTCTTGCTCACAAGACACTCCAGCATGCATTAACTGGAGGTAAGTGCAGGGAGCACTGAAAAGTAAGAGCAGTTAGGCCAAAAATATTCAATCCTTAGCCTCACTGGGATTTCAGCTCAGAACCTGAACAGAAGTAGCTTGGTTTTCCAAGGGTATTGAGTACTTGCAGCTCCCCCGGCTTCACTTATTCCATTTGAAGCTACTCACCATTGCAAGTCTTGCTCTTCACATGTTTGGGGAGTTCCTCTTTTGGAAGGGCCTCGCTGCAGCGCTGACATTTCCCAAAGCCATCTTTTTTATCACACTCAGTCAGCAGGTGCTCTGTCAGGCTTGCTATCTCCACCACCTGCCACCGGAAAACAAACAGGTTGCTGAGAATACAAGAGACACATCTATACACTTGTATTGTGCTTTCAAATTTTTAAATCATCTTAAGTAACTTTAGAGCCCAAGTCTCATATTTAAAAGTGACATAAGCACCTACAGCTCTAAATGTCACTAAAATCCATGAGCCTTGGGCTCCTACTTCACCTTTGAAAATGGGGCATGGAGTAAAATTTCAAAAATGCTTCTATCTGATAATACACTGCTTGTGTTTCAACACATACAACCTGCACAATTTAAAATTGTACAATTATGGGCTTAAACATAAAACAAGGAAAAGTAACTTAAAACTTGATCCTGTGTTTAACTCCACTTTTACATTTAAATATACTTATGATACAAATGATTCCACATACTGTACTGTACATGAGCTACAAGTTGTTAACATTGCATGCAAGTACAGGCAGGCACTGGGACAAAACAGGAATACATGTTTTTTTCTGGAATAATCTTTTGCCCACTTAACATGTCAGTAATACTTGTTTGACACTTTTAATGTATGACAAGTTGGAACAAGCTATTTGACGAGTAACACTGGAATGTTAAAGAGCCCCCACACATAAATACATATCTGAAACAAGACCCACACTGAGCTGGATAGCAATCATAGGGCATGATACACCATATATTGTTCCCCAGAATCCCAGCAATTTTAAAAAGGCAAAATCAGTCTCTAGCTGTGATAATTATTGAGATGGCCTCAAAAACATGGGGAGCATAACTACCCACATTTGTAGAGCCTGAACTGATGAGAGTGTTATCAGCTTCTCGATTCATCTCAATGAGAGCATACTGATGCTTAAAATGTTAATACAACAGATTGTCAGACCGCATAAAAAAGGAGAGGGGATGGGTTAGAGTATGTGTATGTGCAGATTTTCAATCTACTGTAAAGGACAGCTCCCTTTGGCACCAGCACCAAATGGATTTGGGAGACACTGCTGCATTCTCCCTCACTCAAGAAGGGCCCCATTAAGGGGAAGGCATGCTCCAGGAGCCTTGTGGGGCTTGCAAGTTTCATTATGGGGAAACTAGACTTGAGTTCAGCAGAGCCAGGCATGTATTAGGACCCATATTGGGAGAAAGCCAAGCCCTGAGAGCATGTGTGATCATACTCTGAACATCTGCTTAATAAAATATGACTACATATCGCCTGTGGCCAGAGCTTATTTTGTGGGTCGAGTCAGGTAAAATATCACTAATTTCTCCTCTCCTCAATATGACCTCTGGTCTGAAATGATTTAGAATGTCACACCCAGCAAGAGCTCCGATGTTTCACACTTGCACCTGTAGCTTATACAGTAAACTTCTGATAATCCGGCACCTTTAGGACCCAGGGGGTGCCAGATTATCAAATATTACGGACTATCGGAAGGGGGGACGGCTATTACGGGGTTGGGGTAGGGTGGAGGGGATGGGGGGGCGATGCTGCAGGACCAACCTGGCAGCACCCCAGCTGCTCTGCCCCAGACTTCCCCAAGTCAGCCGCTGCTGAAACTGACCAGCGGCTGACTCTGGGAAGCCCGGGGCAGAGCAGCTCCAGGGCAGGAGCAGTTCCGGGTTCCAGGTGGTGCCGGACTAGCAGGAGTGCCAGACCACTGGATGCTGGACAACTGGAATTTTACTGTACTGTGTAGCGGCAAATCCCTTATAGATTGACAACACCTTTCCTTTCAAAGGTGTTTGTCCAACTGAGAGGAGAGATACCCTTCTTTTCCAGTTTCCTGATTGTAATGGTGCTGTACATTTTAAATGGATAAATATGTTGAGCGGAATTACTTTGGCTGTTAATCTGGTTCCTTATACTGCTCCTTTCCTTGTGTTATTGCCCATGACAATGATTCTGCTACAAACTGAACTTTTAATCTTTTGCATCTTACTGATTGACAATAGAATAATTCACTGCTTCTGTTAGTTCAGGAATGTGCATACAGATTATATAGTAATGCAGACTTTGGAATACAATGACTGACCTGTTTGCAGTGCTCACATCTTGTCAACATAGGGCAATGTTTCCAGTAATGGAGATCCAAGCCTTCCTCTGTGAACGATTCGTCCCTTTCACCACAAAAAATGCATAAGCTGGAGAAGACAGAGGAACAATAACAAATGCTACAGATTACTAAAAGAAACATCTTTCCAGTTTAAAATCATTCCGCGACTTACAGGTTTTTTGTACAAATCATCATCCCAACAGAATAACTAACTGCCTCGAGTGGGCTCAAGCAGAGACTTTTGTGAAGTGGTAGTAGAGCTATAACTTCAAAGGTTCACTCAAAGAGAGACTTTGGCTACGTCTAGACTACATCTCTCTTTCGAAAGAGGGATGTCAATTAGATCAAAATTGCAAATGAAGTCGGGATTTTAATTTCCCACGCTTCATTTGCGTAATGGCAGCCGCACGTTCTATCAAAAAAGTGCATTTCGAAAGTGAAATCGACATCTAGACACGGTTCTTTTGAAAAAAACCCAACCCTTTTTCGAAATATCCTGTACTCCTCAAAAAATGAGGTTTACAGGATCTTTCAAAAAAGGGTTTTTTTTCCCCCGAAAGAACATGTGGCCACCATTATGCAAATGAAGCGTGGAAAATTCAAATCCTGGCTTCATTTGCAATTTCAATCTGTCTAATATACATCCCTCTTTTGAAAGAGGGATGTAGTCTGGACATGCCCTTTATTACAAATAAGTACTGAGGAAAAGCTCACATGGACACTTTATCCAATCTCCAAGGACATCTTCTACTTTCATTAAGTCCTTAAATGTGATAGTCTTAGCCTTAGCTTTGCCTCTGTTCCTATAGCAGAGACAGTTTTCTAATCCATGGACATAACTTCTCAAAACACATGTACACACATACCCTTCACTATTTGTGCAATTTGAGGTAATCCTGCTTTGTACAGTCTTAACTGTATTTATTGTAGAAGATAAAGAATAAGGGGGAAGAAATTAAAATATTCAAAATGGCCCCATTTGCATTTTATTTAAATCTTATTTAACGAATTGTCTACAAACATCAGTATAATTATTTGCATTTGGATTATCTCTATCTCCTCTTTAGCAGTGACATTAAAGAGGTTAGAAGCTTCTGATTTTACTTACTTATCTAAATAATTTGCAACTGAGGAATGATCATCTGGAATCTCTGTTGCTGCAGGTAGGGTGACTTTCTTTATTTGCTCACCTGTAAAAAGGAATTTATTAAACTCAATAGATAATAATAATTAATGGAGATATACCTATCTTGTAGAACTGGAAGGGACCTTGAGAGGTCATTGAGACCAGTCCCCTGCCCTCACGGCAGGACAAAGTACCATCCCTGACAGATGTGCCACAGCTTCCTAAATAACCCCCTCAAGGACTGAACTCACAACCCTGGGTTTAAGCAGGTCAAGGCTCAAACCACTGAGCTATCCCTGCCCCCGAAAAATTTATGGAGATAAATCTCTCTCGTAGAACTGGAAGGGACCATAAGAGATCCCTAAATGGCCCCCTCAAGAATTGAACTCACAAGACAGGGTTTAGCAGGTCAATGCTCAAACCACTGAGCTATCCCTAAGTTCTTTCAGAACAGTACTATTTCTCAAAATTTTAATAGCAACTGATTATTTGGAACAGTATATTCCTAAACATTGACAAGCAACTAAAGCATATGCAGCACTAAGAGGCAACACTCCTGTATATAGCAGGATAACTGCTTGTCTTTTGGGTGCTCTGACCAACAAAACATCAGCAACGGGCTGTTGAAAACCCGTCCCTATTTAAAATGTTGCTTAACATTTTGAAAATAAAGTGGCAGATGATTTCACCCTCATTGTGAGGAGAAATCCAAACTGGCTTCAATACAAGCCAATTTGAGCTGGCGTGAGAAATTACCAGCCTCACTGCTGGCAACTAATGTTGGCACACTAAATGGTCAGTTCTCCTCTGAAGACAGAATGATTCTGTCTGTTAGACTGAACCTCAGCCAATCCAAAGCTCTAGGATGTGTTTGTTTCTGAACTCAGATGAGTCAGCATGCATTATGCCATGGTCAGTCACCTATTGGTTGCCACGTGTCCTAATTATTTCTCCATCCAAAACATTTCAAGGCTAGTTTGGTTTCTGTGTTTTTTGAATAGTTTTAAGCTTTTCTTACCTTGAGTCTTTGGCTTTTGAAAATCATTTTCTTTCTCCTGCCAAACAGAGAAAGAGACGTCAGTAATTCCATTGGTGACTATGGCACTGGCCAGGACAGAATGATTTCTTGGTATTTCAGGAAGGAAGAGCAGATAAATCCAAAGAAAACCCAGTCAGCGAAGAAATGAGAAGCAAAGTCAAGGCTGTGGTGCAGAAGCCAACATTCCCAAAGAGGATTTCTTCTGAGTGCTGGGACACAACAGCATTCCTCCAGTAGATATATTCCTGTCCCTATGTTGGCACAGGCATACATACTACAGCAGCAACCTTGCAATCAGGATGGGCAACCGTCCCTCTACCATTACTACCTTTAAAGTCAAACATGCACAATTCTAATAGCTGACAATGACACAGTATAGCATCATTCTAAGTGACCTACATGAGTTATTATATATACAGGCAGTCCCCGGGTTACGTACAAGATAGGGACTGTAGGTTTGTTCTTAAGTTTGTACTTAAGTCGAACTGGCGTCCAGATTCAGCCGCTGCTGAAACTGACCAGCGGCTGACTACAGGAAGCCGGAGGCAGAGTTTCTCTGCCCGGGCTTCCTGGGAATCAGCCCCTGGACAGGTTCAGCCGGCGGCTGACTCTG